GGGAGCCCCTCCGGACTCACTCGACGCCGGAGAGCCATTCGGGATTTCTCCGCCCGTTCGAAAATTCATTGCTTCGCTCCTACTTGAGATTAAAGAATGAACTCGTTGTCATTTATTGAGAATATTATTCTCGATCGATAGATGTTGCGTTCATTCCGTCTTCGCAATTAGGGCGGCGGGGATGGGGGGGGGGAGGGGAGAAATGAATTTTCTAATCGGGGGAGCCCCGCCGCGCTCACTCGACGCCGGAGAACCGTTCGGGGTTACTCCGCGCTTTTGAAAATTCATTCCTCCGCTCCTACTTGAGTAGGATAGGATAGAATTTCCCGAAGATTCCAAAAAGCTTCATTGTTCTTCGTGCATGAAAAATGGGGATCTTCGGGAAACTCCTTGCGATCGCAAGACTTTTACCGATTTATTTTTCTCCGTGTGGCGTCCGTATAGAAGATTAAAAAATCAATTTAACAATGGGACAATTGGAGTGGAGAGAAAAACGTGAATACCTCGGAAATTAGATGCGATAAAATGGGCCCTTTTCACGTGGACGTACACATATAATTGGACTGAAATTTACAGAAATTTTTAATTTGCAATGACGAAATTCCTTGAAATTTCCGTATTACGGTAACGCGATAAAAATTTCCAATAAGTGTTCCCGGAATTTGTGCGAAAATATTACTGAAAACTACAGACATCATTCCTGAATTTAAGACTTGCCTTTAATTTTCAGGATCATGTCACTGGAAATTTTTTACAAAATGACTTAATTTTAACATTGCTTGCTCATTGCATTTCAGAAATGCAGCTGCCTAAAAAAGATACATCGATTCCTAGGAACGTTTTTTTTTTCTCGGGAAATACAGACAATAGAGAAATGTCAGAGTGGAATTCCCTGATTTTTTTTCACTCTCGATTAATTTTTTAAAGATTCAAATTGATACTTGATTCATTCACATCGTTCCAGTCCATCGGGAGATATTGTCGATTGGAGACAATTTTTTATGGTCACTGAAGGAGGCAAACCATTCATCTAAATCTCGTAATTATCTGCGAAAAATCTTATTCATTAATCTATTATTATTGAATTAATCCCGTTATGTGTAGATCGCTGGAGAACAACGAAAACGAGTGGGTGCGAGCGCGATACAATGAGTGGGAGCGAGCGCGATACATATTCCTTTCTCACTCAGGGGGGGATTAAATATATATAATCGAACATTACTATAGTAAACAAAAAACAAAATCTGCACAATTATTCAATAGAATCACTGGAAAACTATAGAGTTTTCCAGCGACAGCGCTGGGATTTTCTATGAATTTTTTGACCTACGTGTCAATAATAAATATGTCGAGAAAAAGAAAAAGACTTTTAGATCATTAGATTCTGCATTCATTATACTATTGATTATAATATGTTCGATTTTACATTCCTGACAATTATTATAAAATGCGAGGAACTACCGTATTGAGAACCCCTTTCCGGTTATCGACAAATTTATACTCGGGGCCTACCATACCAACAGTTCCGTACGCTCCATCCGTAGTCCATGCGCCACCGCTACAAATTTTGATGTTGTACACTTTACATTGGCCCTGCTGATCTCCCCTATAATCTCTGGGAGTGCCTAGAATGTCGGCATGGTGGGGTTAACCTCGAACTAGTGCCACATATTATCAAAAAACAAAGTAGTGAAAATGTTGTTGATTAAATTGAACTCACGCTTATGCACCAAATATCCATCAGCAGTGAGAGTAGATCGACACTCGAGTGGTGCAGTGTCAACGAGCCAAAATGAAGCGGAGAACATTCAATACCCACCGATACTGGATACATGTTTCAAAGCACGTTTTAGAAGGCACCAGGAGAAGAAGCACGAAACAGTGAAGGTGGTTAAAACTGTTGAGGAGAAGATGATCAAACTGAATTTCACGAGATACTGGGGATTCAAAACTCTGATGTATGAGGAAGGGAGGATTTTTTATAATGAACTCCCCCATGCTCAGTATATCACGAGAACACATGTTATTAGTGAACCAAAGTTACCTGAAAGTTATGACAATTTGGTGGAGCAGCAAAGTTTGGAGGAATTGGTAAAGGAGATTAAAGGATTTTTCGAGGATGGAATGACTTTTGAAATTGTTAGTAGAAAGTGAGTATATTTTTTCAGTTATAGGATCATTTAAACGAGTTTATCCTCTATACAACTCTTGTGCAAAAATTTGTACAAAAGTTCAAGTAAAATTTACTTGGGGATCAGTTTTTGGGAAATATCTTGGAACTTAAGGGAGATAGATAAATTTTCGTGAAAGGATTTTTTCAGAGAGCAACATGCGATTTACAAAAAATTTTTGATTGCAGAGATATTTAGGCAAATTGAGGCCTGATAGAAGGTCCTCATAAAATTTTATTATCTCTCTTGAATTTAGAGAGAAGTTTTACTGTTGAATTTTTTCATTTCTTTTGAAGGTGATGTATTTTTTAGTTTTCCTTTGCCTTCCATTGTTCCCAAGATAAGGAAATTTTCTTCAGAAGCACTTTTATAGAGCAAGGTGTGATTTACAAAGAATAGTCTAATAAAGGATGCAGTGTCTCCCTTGGTTTCAGAGATATTTATGCAAATTGAGACGTCAAAGAATTTTAGGAAATTATAATGGATTTTATAAACACTTTGTCATCTTCCCTAAATTTATAGATATTCGGTATGAATTCATCTACTCTAAAAGGGAGTCCACTTATTCTGATTTACAAGTTCAGTGTTGAATTTGCAATTTGTTTTAAATTATGAGCCTGAATTTAGCTTTTAAAGAAAAAAAATCACTTAAAATTGCTATAACTTGACGAAAAATGAACCGATTCGATTGAGGTTTGATTTGATGAATTCGCCGTCATGTTCTCTACAACTGCTGATCATTCGTTTTGTTCAACGTCAAATATACTGTTTTTTAAACGGTGAAACACATTTTCCAAATACTTTACCATTAGATATCGGTGAAACTACTAGTGCTTCTAAAAAACAAAAAGACCGTTTTTTACACAAAAAAATCTAGGTGAGAGGTGTGGATTTTTGTCAAAATTCTCACTCCAATTATGGTAATTCAAAAAAGAGTGAAAAAACTTCGCCATGCTCTACAGTCCGACTGGAGCATCCGAATGCTACCCAAAACCGCTCATTTTTTTCTCGGAACCATACTCTTGGGGAGAGGTAAATTTTTTTTTTAACGTTAAATTTATTTGTAATCCATTTTTAAATTGTACAATAGAGAAATGAAATTTATTCCTCTACCACGAACCATCATTTCTAATCTCCTCGGTTTTTTTCTGTAATCAATATTTATGTACCAATTTAAATCAAATCTCACTGACAGATAATTTTTTTCAACTTTTTGAAATCGAATTAAGCAAGTGTACCAGTAGATAAACGCCTGAGCTCAGTATTCAAATTCTAAATATTTTGAAAGAATATTTCACCGTCAAGTTCAAGAGATTCTCTACAATAATATTTACTACATATGCAGATATTTACAACATATATACAAATATTGACAAGATATATACAGACATTTACACGATATATACAGATACACAGTTTGAGGAAAATTTCAGTATCATTCATCTGATCGTTTTAACCACTGTCTACAAAATATGCAGAAGTAGGTGGTATTTTCTAATTCCAAGTCCTTAAATACTTGGCCAGTTCGGATTATACGTCTGTATTCAATCCACCTATTACATAGATCACATTGACCCAGTTTATATCCCTGAAAGTGTCTTCTGTCTCTCCGCAGTAAAGGCAACGATCTCTCATGTTGAGTGAATTCCTCAAAATTAACACTTTTAGTTCATCTCTCTTTTTTCTAGCCTGGAGTGGAGCAATCGACGAAATTCTGCCCGATCGAATTTATTCTGAAAAATGTAGAACAAAAACTCCACAATTGTGGCCATCTTGTTGCAGAGGATAGTCATATCTCCTTGGTTGCCATTTAATTTTTGATTCAGGGAATACCTAAACGTAAAAAAATCACTTTTAAATATGCATTTTATGAACAGCACACAGGCCAGAGAAACACACTTGTTAGGAAATTCTGAAGTTTTAGAAACGATCTTTCTTACTCCATTAGAGAATAAGATTTACTGAAAGTTGCTTTTGAGATTAGATAAATTACAAAATTTCAACATTAAAAAATAATAAAAATGATAAAAAAATAATTATTGTTTCCATTGGAATATTTTCAGAAAATTCAAATGAATTATAATCGTTTTACATTTTTGAAATTTCAGTGACGGAAAATTCAATTAATTGCATGGTATATAACTTACTTTCTTATAACAATCAGCGAACTTGTTAATGTACTTCTTTGCTTTAACAGCCGTATGATTTTTCCTTGAATCGAAGAAGGAGATTGTATGTTCATCTAGCTTCACGTACAGGAGCACGCAATGATGCTTTCTAACATTAAATGGTAAATAAATTTCGCGCTTGCCAACCTCTCCCTCCCACTCTCGTGCTAATCGTTATTCAAATTCCTGTTTCTTTGGTTTCTTGAAGAATATAATTGTACCCCTTTCACAATTAACATAAGCCACATGACCGTGATGTGGAACCTGCTTTATGAAAATATTCGCACAATAATCAACGACGAAATTGGCTAACCATCGTTTACCAAATAGTGTAGCATAGTCTTCAACATATATACATTCGATTTGTCCTTCTTCTAGAAAACTGTCTGTTAGAGCTACCAGAGCAGCTTTAGGTCATTTTTCATGACAATAGTACTGTGGATTCGAAATCGTGCAGTTCTCATTTACAGGATTCTTTTTTGTACATCTCTTAGTTTCGTGGCTTTCGTGGGCTCATAGACATCTTTTCCTTTCTTCTTGTCATTTGCTTGTGTCTCTTCCTCTTTTATGACGCTGTCAAATTGTTCATTTTCATTTTCTCCTGTGTTTTCTTCTGCAGATTCTTCCTCTTCTTCTTTTTCTTCCTCTTCTTCTTCTTCTTCATCTTCTTCTTCTTCTTCTTCTTCTTCTTCTTCCTCTTCTTCTTCTTTGTTTCTTTGCACCAGTCTCCGTAGATTTCTCCCGCATTGATAAGTGTCTCTAGTTTTGTTAGTCGTCTCAGGGCCGCGGTTCCAGAACTCTTCTGAATCAAAATTATCAGGAGCATTTACTCTCTTTTTATACTTCTTCCTGTGAACTTCAGGAGGTGGCAAATCCAATTGTTTATAAACAACTGTCACATGTGCATATTCTGTATCAATGTATCTTCCCACTTTCAATTTTTTTTCATTTTCCGTTGTCATTAATTTGAAATTGATTTCTGCATATGTATTAACCATATGTTTATTGTTTGGTGTTAATAAAGTGGTGCAGAAACTAAACAAAATAACTTACCTTTTACCAAGAGTATGATTCAGAGAAGGCAATGAGCTATTTACATTAGCATTCAGATGCTCCAGTCGTGGTGTTAGAGCTTAGCTTAGAATTTTGGAAAAAATCCAGAACTTTCATCTAGATTTATTTTGTAAAAAAAAGCGTTCATTTTTTATGTTTCTGATATAACTAATAGTTTGCAAGATATTCTCTGGTAAATTACTTTTTCAATATATTTAGAATCTAAATACTGAACTTAGGCGTTTATCTACTGGTACACTTACTTAATCCGATTCCAAAAAATTAAAAACAATAATTTGTCAGTGAGATTTGATTTAAATTGGTACATAAATATTGATTACAGAGAAAAAGTGAGAAGATTAGAAATGATAGTTGGTGGTAGAGGGATAAATTTCATTATTTCTTTATTGTACAATTTAAAAATTGATTAGAAAGAAATTGAACGTTGAAAAAAAAACATTTACCTCTACCCAAGGGTATGATTCGGAGAAAAAAATGAGCTGTTTTGGGTAGCATTCGGATGCTCCAGTCGAACTGTAGAGCTTGACGAAGTTTTTTCACTCTTTTTTTAATTACCATAATTGAAGTGAGGAGTTTGAAAAAAATCCACAACTATCCCCTAAATTTTTTTTGTGTAAAAAACGCTCTTTTTAACTTCCCGATCTATACGGAAGTTATTGTAATGACCCCGAAAATCGAAAGTGGATATTTCACGATATCTCCACGTTTCATGACCCCTAGAATCTTTCTATAACGTTTCTAAAGACATGTCTGTGTGTGTGTGTATGTATGTATGCCTGTGAACAAATTTTGTGCTACGATTTCTCTTAAATAAACGATAAGAATCCAATTTGCTTTATGCCCATCGATGCGCCTCGATGGGACTTAGACCTGATTAAATTATGAACAAAATCGTCTGAGCGGTTCGTTAATTATTTAAATAAAGTTGATTCTTCAAATACAGTTGAGAGAAATTTGAAGTGGGTCAAGTAAAGTGGGTTTAACTCAAACTTGATTGATGTTTGAGTTAACTTAAATTGCAAATGCGTTCTTTGCGAAATCACCCTAAGGGCAATGCTACAATGGATGCAACGCTAAACGCATGCAACGCATGAAATAATTGTCCAACTGTTTTCCGAATATTTCTGATAATGACTAGCGTTGCGTATAGCGTGCGCTGCATTCACTGTGACATGAGCCCAGCGTTTATTAAATCTACGGAGAAACTTTCCTTCTATGGGTATTTTCCCGGAGAAATGTGAGAAAAAGATTGAATAAATACATAATCAAAAAAAGTAATGAAAGAAAAATAGTATATTTCGATACAAGTGCGACGGGGTGGCAACGAGTGTGAAGTTGGCGGCCCGAGGCAAAGCCGAGGGCTGCCAATCACACGAGTATCCGAACTATATTTTTTGTTAGTGATGTTACGTTCAGCGAGTGCCGAACTGTGCCATTTTTCGTTTACTAGTAAACGAAAAGTCTTTTCGTTTACATGTTTCGACTTTTCGTTTACTAGTAAACGAAAAGGCACTTTTCGACACGGACTGAACGTAGCAGCAGTGACAAAAACAAATGGTCGGGAAGTCATTGGTTCGACCCGTAATGGGTCACACCCAATTCCACCAACCCCTACCGGTCATACCCCAAAGAGGGAGCGCGCGAAGCGCGCGATCGGGCCTGTTTTTTAAAAATAAGATTCAGATAGAGCTGCGAAAGCATTACATGACCCGTCATATGACGGTCAAGTGATCATCA